ACTGTTGTTTTGGTTTCAACCGCTGATCCAAAACCAGCCACCGAGCCTGAGAGTGGAGCGATCTTAAGTAGGCTACTACAACACACTGTGTCCGCTTTTAACTGCAGCTGACCTACATGATGTACACAATTCACTGCCACCAAGACATGCCCTAATATAACAAACACTTGGCTGTGACTCGGATTTGATCCTCCTTACCTTCCAAGAGACGCTGAATTATAGAGTCGATGTTTAATTTGTCCGGCTCCGCCATTTTCTTTATTTTCTGACGTTCTCGGGCTCAAGACGATGGTTTTCTGTGTCTCACCTTAGATTTCTGTGAGGGAAAGACGGGGAATGGACACTGAGAGTTACTCAAATTATAATGTCGTAATTCACTGAATGAGTCACACTTGCTAGTCGAGCAATGTCAAAAAACTGTCAATGAGCTTAACCGAGCTTCTGCTAGCTAGGTAGCTATTAGCTAAGTATCATAAACTAGCAGCAGCAAAACTGAACCTTGGCTAGTGAGCAAACGTTAGCTAAATAATCAAACCTGGAAAGAGATAACATGTCAAACCTTGTATCCGGTTTAATATTAATCCTCCCGTGTTGAAATCTGTGTAAATATTTATCCCCTGAGTTCGATCTTGGCCCTTTTCCCCTCGGTTTGTCCGGGTCGCCCCACTCTTCCCCCAGGAACTTTAAAAGAGGGCCGTTTCTAGCGAAGCGTCTACGGTAACACAGGAGGGTGAATCAAACCGAGGTCTTCACACGTTTCTCAAAAAGCGATTGGTCAATCGCAGCCCTCAGCTGCCCAATATTCGCATCTGATTGGATACACACTGGGTCTGTCTTATTCTTAGGCACCGCCTACAGCACTTTACAATGGCATCAATGAAGATTTAAATTAAAGCTCAAAGCGCGCCACCCAGTGTGTCGACGTGGAACTGCACTTTAAACCCTAAAACCACACTTTGATCTTAGTTATGCATCTTAGTTAATTGAAGTTGAGGCTTTTAATACAAGCAAAAATCTGACACACACAAGTGTGTGTTTAATAAACTAAAGAAAACCATAAAAAAGTCTGTCAATGTGGTGAAATGCGCACGAATAATACAAAGGGCTTTTGTGCATCTTTTCATTAGTACTGTCAGTCATCTGTTACAGTCAGATGTAAGCCACTATGGAAAATAAACAGTCTGATACAAAAACAAAAGTCCAAAACCAACAACTGGCTTGACTTTGGTAAAAATCTATTTTTAACAAAGAAAAACCCAGAATTCTTTGACCCCTACAGTATTGATCCCTCAGTCAATCTCAGGGACATTCTGCTGACATAGTTTGGATAGAGACCCTTTAGAGCAAGACCTGGGCCACCAAAGGGTCCCTTTGCCACACAAAAGCAACAATGAGAAACAAATAGAAGTATTTCTAGATCTACACAAGTGGTTCGATCTATATACTTAACATACTTCTCTCTACTTACATTTTTACATGTGGTTTTGTGCATTTTCCGCTGTGAGCAGGGAATTGTGGTTGCACAATCAAATGACAGTAGACCCACTGAATGTGTAAAGCTAAAACATTGTGTTTATGATTCTGAGTTATATAAAATAAAACGTAATTGAATTAATCGCTAAAATAACAAGAAATAATTAGCAACGAGTGTCTTTCACTTGGCCTATGTGAATGTTTTTGGAATGTATCTCTCAATGTGTAGTGCACATAAAATTAGAAGTATTATTCCTTGTTCACTGTGTCTTTGCATCTGTGACATTAAAAGAGGTTTCATATCTTTCTCCTGATTCTGTTAACTTGTAGATGATCATTTTAAAATTTTTATCCTAACCAAACAAGACTTCCTTTTAAGGCCAACGACGTCAAGCTAGTTTCCTCTGGTCAGGTGGCAACCAGCTTGATGGTGCATCATCCTGTCATTAATAGTTGTGTGTCAGTAGGTTGTTTTTTCCAAAATGCATCACCTTTAAATGATGTGATTACCTGGTGATGTGGCTGTTGGACTGGGCTGCTTGCAGAATATATCAGCATTTGGCAGGTGGGAGGTGTTATCTTCTCAGTCTGGTGGTCTGATTCAAAATGTGAGGATCTTATTTTATTGCTCTCCATCAGTCATTGTTCTGTCTGTCTTACAGCTTAGAGCATTGGTAAGGCATAAAAGAAGTCCAGAGGCTTTGAGGCTTATTTAATGAGGAAAATCAAACGCCAAAGACACAAAGACACTTGCTTTGAGAGAGCAAGAGGAGAACAACTGTAAATGTGACTTTCAAATAAAAATACAGCGGACATTTATGTTGTTAGTCTCCTACTTTATCTCCTTTACACTGATTCAAATAAATCCATCTAAAAACCTTCTCAGAATAATTACATGGTATCTCCACTTCATTAGGGAAGGCATGCTAAATTTGACTATTATCACAATCATAAATCATTTTAAGATTTACAGGTTCTTGAAGTACATATGGGCTGAAATTTGCCACATTTTTCCATCATTTTGAGCCTTCATGATTTCATTAGCACTCCATGAAAGTTTCAGTGGAGTAAAACACACTTAAACTCCAATCAAACTAGGTTTACACCGACTCCAAGTGTCACAATATAAAACTAAAATGTTTTTCAAACACTGCTTTTAAGCAGAAATATTAATATACAGGTCTAAGGATCAGTGGATGCTCTCTTTGCTGTTTGTGGCTTCATTGCCTGTTCAGTTTGTGGCATTTTGTTTTACTTGCTTATGCTAAACTTTAAAAGGAATCATGTGATTGCTTATCCTCATCTTCTTATATATATTCATATATATATTATATTATATTAATATATATATATATTCATATTCAGATCATCCATTGATCCAGAGACCCTTTGTGATCCAGTTCCTTCTGTATGTTCAAATTGCAGAGATTTTGACAACGATTCTCCATTTTATGCACAAACGTCAAATAAATGCAACTTTAACACATAATTTTCACACAGCAGGAATGATGACTAGAAGATGAGCCTGGCATCAAAATGTAGATAGAAGAAGACCTTGTTTTGCCACCTATCCCACATGGTGACATGGCCTCTGAAAGTTAGCCCCAAACACTTTTTTCCTCCATTGAATTATACAAAAACATATCAAGTATTCACTGCTTCTGTTCCTCTGAGTCATGCACATTAATGAATGCAGTTTTGCTATCGAAGCTATGATAAATCCCACGCTCAGAGCTGGTTATAGGAAAGAAATGCTGATCTTGATTTTAGATTAAGACACTCAGAGTGGGTTCAGGTTTTCACAATGTGTTTTTGAGCCCTGAAGATTTCACCTGAATATCTCCTCAAGTAAACAAGTTAGAAGGTCTGAAAAATGCAGGAAAAATCACACAAATTTAAAAAGCGCATAACATTGATGCACGTCAGGGGCCTGTGATTTGGAAAATATTTATATTTTTAAGGTAAATCTTGCGTGGACTCCCTAAATATGTCAAAATTATGGCACAAAAATGAAAAGAACAGAAAAACAACAGAAATCAAGTGAAAACCTTCTTCAGAATAGCTCCATCACACAGACAGCTCTGAATTGGAGATAAGAGGGGAAACACAACAGTGGACAACAGCGAACATGTGAGCAGAAGATCCTTTTTCACAACTGGAGCACTGTGATGAAACTGGGTCAGGACAAGCCCCATGTTGGTATTCAAGGCATTTACTAATTAAAAAAGAACAAATAACATTTTTTTCTTGTTCTGTTTGGTTTGTTCTCGATTCTCATTGATATAAAGTTCACAGCTGATGTTCAGTTTCTGTGAAAATACAGTAAAATTCAGCTGTGTAGGCAAAAACAAACAACAATAGAAGCCACATTCCTTTTTATTTCTTCATGTCCTCATGATCCATGAAACCCAGCTCATGGTCTTACGTAAATTAAACCCATTCCATCTCTGTTTCCAAAGCTGATCTCCGTACACTCGTCATCAGAGTTTCAACAGAGGTAGGTGCGTAAGTGAGAGGAGGGGGGATGCAGGTAAGGAAAGGTGGGTGGTAACTGTGTAGACTGGGAATGCAGAGGGAAAAAAAAGAGGAGTCATTCAGATGACTCACTTTTCTATTCTAGGCAATTTGTAATAGCAACAACCAAAATATTTTAATTAGCATCAGCATCACTGTTATGACTACAATCCCACAAACCTCTGTATGTGCTTTATGACTTCTGGTGCTGAGACATAATAATCTTTTTCCTAGTGGCTCTTTTTCCACTAATGCAAATTAGGTAAGCGATCCTTGTCTCCACAGCAGCTTTCAGTGAGTACAGAGCATGCTGCAGGGCATGTCCAGCCAGGTCTTGTGGTCCTTCCATCATCTATGTTCTCATGTTTGTGCTCAGCCCCGCCCACACCTTTGCATTTCTCCATATATGTCCCATGTTGTCTGTACAAGACTTGTACAACAGGAAACAGCATCTTCGAGACAACACGCAGACAGGAAAACAGAAGAAGAATCTCCACTGAAATCTCACCTAATTTTTTTCCATTTTCAAAAAAGGTAGGAATCTATTTATCCACTTTTTATTTAAAAAGACTGCCTGAGCTCTGAAAGGAGACTGAAATCTGAAAAGGCTTGAGGATGAAAGGGTTGGTTGAGGATTAATTTGATAATTACTCAAATAAAATTATAAGAATCATAATAAAATAAATAATCTTTCATAATGGACATAAGAGGGGAAATTAAAAGTGCAAATAAATAAACAGCTGTGAGAGTAAAAAAGAAGGCCTGCTTTTCTTTTTGTTTTCTGTTTCTAAAGATTTCACGAGTTCCACCTGCGGTCACAATAAAACTCAGAAATCAGTCTGAATGAGGATTAACTCAAATCAGATTTATTTTCAGGGTTTAATCTGCTCTGAAAGTTAGTTACACTTAAACACGGGGTGTTTTTGCTCAGTGCAGCCCCCTCCTGTTAATCCTGTACACACCTGATTGGACTTCGAGATCTTTTTTCGTTATTTCACCTAATTTTATGTTGTTGGATGCTAGATTTAATGATGATCATCAATACGATACATTTTTGGGTAACGGAAAAAGGTTTAAAGAATGCGAGAAAAACTGCCCCTACTTGTTTTATCTGATGGTAATGATTGTAACACCCCCTTGATTTGAAGTGGATTTAAAAAATTCCTCCAATTTGTGCTCAAATATGTAACTTTAAATGTTACACTTTTCATGAAAACAAGGGTTTTTTGTTCCAGCATTTATGACTCAAACTTTACCTTCTTACCTTCTTTTGTATGACGGTGACTCATATAATGGCCTTCAAACAATTAGGTAAAGCAGAGATTTTCAGAGTATGAAGAGCTCCGCCCAGATGTGGCAGCTCAGCGTCTCCTGGGTGGAGATTCAGCGCTCCTGGACCAGTCAGGACATGAATTTGTTTTGAAAACATTGCCCCAAAGCCATGTTTTCTGTGAGGGCCTGTCAGAGTATTGTTTACCTACATGATTCCTCCCCTATCTGACCACAAAGGAAGGACCCACCCGACAGTAAGGCTAAAGCACCACATGTAATATTTTAAATCAGCGATGGAGACTTAAAACAACTCCACAGCTAACCAACAGAACGAGTGCTGCAAATCATAAGCGGTGAATTAAATTTTTTAAATATATATATTTATCATAGCATATTAATAAAACAGATACAGCAAAAATATTGGAGAAACATTCAGCGGATGTTAG